AACTGAAAATATGGATGGAGGACCTCAGTTTAGCTTGTTTGTCGCACTAACGCCGAGCTAATACATGTAAGGCAATACAGCATCAGTGCTAGCACAAAGGCAAATAGGCTAAGCTGAGGTTGTTCCTCCATGAAGCAGCTCTGTTGTCCTCCATCTATATTTTCAGTTACAGACTGAGCCATTTCTACCTTCTCCCCTCTGTCAACACTCTCTGGTTTCATTTAAGAGTCGATCATCAGATATTGTCCAAGATTAACCTTCAGAGTGGATATATCTTGCTAGCAGCCTCGCACCTATGACCTACCCACATCACCATTTACCTAGAATGCTTTGCATGTAAATAAAATGGCTCCATCCGTGTTAAAATATATTTTTAAAAATGTACAAAACTAAACAGCCTACAGTATTTTTACAGTCTTTATTTTACAGCTAAAATATATGTTTATCTAATAAAGTCTAAAGTTACAACTAATTGGGGATCCCTTTACGGAGACACACAATGTTGTAAGTTGACTTATAGTCTTGTGTTAAACCAAACTTACCAACTATTAGACCAATTTCACAGTGATGATCGTCATAACCACAGGTCATCATGGTTCCAACTGTGTCACTGATCACTGCCAGAATGTCAACGTCAAAGTCCTGTATTCAGATTCTAATTAGTTGTTTGAAGTAAAATCAGCACAATCATTAAAAAATTGCTACAGAATTATCTAAGGCTTTCCTAAAGGCCCTGTCACACTAGACAACTTATGAAACCTTTTTTATGTCTAAATTGCTAATAAAGGTTATATATTTGATCAGTTTGTTAGTATTACAGTATGTACATGCCTAAAAGAAGCTTCCAGTTGATTTTTTCAATTCCATCTTCAATGTAGATGTCTGTAAAATGTTTCATCATTTGCCATAAGTTGTCTAAAATGTCATAGTGTGACAGGGCCTTTTTAGACAACTTATGCCTACTTATGAAAACATTTTTATGACTAAATATCTCCTATTTGATATAATCATTAGCATTGCAGTATATATCCAAAACAGGCTTCCAGTAATTTTTTTATTCCATCATCAGTGTAGAGATCTTCAAAGTCAGACAAAACTTTCACAACAAGTTGTCTGAAAAGTTATACAGTAGTGTGACARGGCCTTAAGACAGCTCCACAAAATGACCACAGAGACCAGCCTGTCTTTCAGCTCCCTCTGGTCACTCATAAATCATATGTGGAGCTGGCCACTTCCAGCTCAGATGAGAACTTTCAGAAATGAAGCAGAAAGTGTGGAAAAAATAAGTTGTGAAGCAGAACGCAGCTAGGCTGAAGTGGAGTGTGATGTTTGTGTCCCTCATGTCATTTACAAACCATGATGAATTACCTCAATTTAACATCCTCTTTGTGGTTAACTACTTTTTTTAAACTACAAAGTTCTGGTGTTTCATCAWCATCCCTTCTTAACAAATCAGTGTTTTTTTTTTTACTGCGAGAGGGTGGTCGCACACTAATGTCAAACTCTCAGCAGGAGTTCATCTCATCATCAGCCACCTGAACAGGATGGATGCAGCGGCATCTGTGACTAGCAGAAAAATAATCTTCCTTCTCATTTGTTAAATGATGACTATGATGTCCTTCAATCTGTTTACTCATGTTTGCACACAAGTCTGTAAGTTTGCAGTGGCTGCTTCAAACTTACAGAACAATTTACCGTTCGGTAGCAACACTGCACAGACTATAAAAAACACCTAAATCCTT